GGAGAAGGAAACAGGAGGAGCCAGCCGGGCGCGGCACAGGTGCGCCTTGGGCTGGGCGCGCCACGGCGGCGAAAGGAAAACCCCGATGGTGCCTCTGAGCGCGTGCAGAGGATTTTTTTCCGGACGGCTGCAACCAGCTGTCAAGGGGCGACTGAGAATCGCTGCTAACTGGGCAGGGGACCCGAGGGTCATCTAGTCCAACCCCGCGCAACGCAGGACTCTCAACCAGATCGGACATGGCAGGTGGCTTGGAGCCAACTCTTTCGGGCTCAGGTCCCTTCGCGCGCGCCCCATAAAATATTCCAGGGGGCTGCCCCCCCTCCGAGTGCCATTCAAATAGTATGTCTTGTGATCGATTATGGGGGGCGGGACTCACCTGCCCCCCCCCACATATTTTAATTTCAAGTTGGCACCCCTGGCAGCAGGTGGCGACCACCACTCCTTCCATTGTACTAATGGGTTGGGTCCCCCAAACAAAGAACTCCATGAGACATTAAAAGCACCCCTGCTGACAATCGATAAAGGTTTTTCTGTGCTCCACCCCCAGTGACACCCGGAGATCAAAGCAAATACAGCATTTATTCTGTGCCGCCTTAATAAGCTCCTAGGAATATTAGTCTGTCCAATGTCTGTATGGCGGAGAGGGGGGGGGTGCTGGCACCCCGAGACCCTCATAAGCAAAGTGGTTTTGCGGCTACGTCCGATCGGCAAGCCTCTTGTCCCTTATATCTAAGCAAAGAAAGGCACGGAGACGTTTAATAGAACGCTGAGCATCCTTAAGACCGGCTGGCTGCCTCTCCCCCAGTGAGTGTGCAAAGGATGGTGTGCGGAAGGTTAAAGATGCCTCTGCCAGCCATTCAGAGATTTTAAGTTTTTGAGAGCTCCAGGTGAAGATGCTGAACCCCGAAAGACCTACAAAGGAGGGTTGTGGCTTTTCAGTGCTAAAACACCATTCTTTGGGGTGCAGAAAAGTCCCAGGTTCAAGATCTGGCACCTTCACCGGCAAGAATGTAAAGGTAAAGTAAAGCGACCCCTGCCATTAGGTCCAGTCGTGACCGACTCTGGGGTTGCGGCGCTCATCTCGCTTTATTGGCCGAGGGAGCCGGCGTACATCTACCGGGTCATGCGGCCAGCAGGACTAAGCTGCTTCTAGCAAACCAGAGCAGCGCACGGAAACGCCGTTTACCTTCCTGCCAGAGCGGTCTATTTATCTACTTGCACTTTGACGTGCTTTCGAACTGCTAGGTCGGCAGGAGCAGGGACCAAGCAACGGGAGCTCACCCCGTCAAGGGGATTTGAACCGCCGACCTTCTGATCAGCAAGTCCTAGGCTCTGTGGTTTAACCCACAGCGCCACCAGCGTCCCTAACAAGAATGTTACTCACCCCAAAATGGAAAGTAGCAGAAGTCGCAGCAAAGAATGGACACAAAAACTTATGGAATATGCAGAAATGGCAAAACTTACCTGAAGAATAAGAAATCAAGATAACAAACTTTTTATATTATTTTTTTAAATGATATTTATTGGGAATTTAAAATTACAGGGGGGAAAGGAAAAAGAAAAACGAGAAAAACGAGATTAAACAGTACAAGTCAATAAAAAGAAAAAAAACAAAAAAACAAAACATACATCAAAATCAAAAACAGATGCAAAAGAATAAATTTCGGGGTGAGCTCCCGTTGCTCAGTCCCAGCTCCTGTCAACCTAGCAGTTCAAAAGCACATCAAAGTGCAAGTAGATAAATAGGTACCGCACCGGCGGGAAGGTAAACGGCATTTCCATGCGCTGCTCTGGTTCGCCAGAAGCGGCTTAGTCATGCTGGCCACATGACTTGGAATCTGTACGCCGGCTCCCTTGGCCAATAAAGCGAGATGAGGGCCACAACCCCAGAGTCGGTCACGATTGGACCTAATGGTGACTTTACCTTTACCTAGACACAATGCAAGAGATTTGTGAAGAGGAGGAAAGAGAATTTGCAGCAGAACTACAGGGAGGTGTTTGTAAACTTCTCCAGCAATGTTTTTGCTTTTTAAATCATCACGCAGAGAGATAGAAACCATATGAACAACTACTGTATGTTTTCCCCTGCAAGGCAAATAGCAGCATTTAATTAAGGGAAACAGTGCAGAGGGGTTAAAGCCCCCCATGGGCTCCTTAGTGAACCCTCTGTTGTGGGTTTTTTTCTTTTTAATTAAAAGCAGATCTTGTTCACATCAAGCACTATGACAAGTCTGATATAGCTGTACGTGTGTAAAGAATAATGTGCCATATTTGGTAGTATTTTCTGGGTTTTCTTCTGTTTAGATTTGTCATCAAAATGAAGACAAGTGTCAAGCTAAAGTAGAAAATGCTTTAAAAAAAAAAAGAACCGCTCTCTTTCATGTGATGGGAAGTAGTAAAAGAGAAAAGATTTTCCCCTTGAAAAGATTTTATCCAGCGTCAGCTGACTTTATGAGAGGCTTGAACCGGTTGAGCAGGAAACGAAACCATATTCCACCGCAGGAGCAATCTTCTCATATTCTTGGCCCCATGCCCTTCAAGCAGTGCCCCCCCCCCCATTCTGCAAAAACAACCAATGTTGCAACTGTGCACTCTAAAATGTGCATTGCCATTATCCCCGCCCCACACACATTTAATATAGTAAAATTTAAAATTGGGGAGATAGCATAGAACAGTGACTTGTCAAAGTGTGTTCTGACATACGCTGGGGTTCTGAAATATACTTGGAGTCGAGAGTGGATTTCATGCTCTTTATTCAGCTCATAGTGGTGATGACACAAAATGTACACAGTTCCCAATATGGCTGCACCATAGATTGGGATGACAACATTATATCGGCAATATTTCACAGGTGAAGGAGAGGGTTGAGGCAGAAAGATGCACAGCACTAGGACTTGCTATTGCTAAACAGTTTGGGCATCCGAGGTTTTCCTGAGGTTTTCTGCCTTCCCTCATTACTGAACACAGCCACCAGCATACATATCACAGGAGAAAATGGATAGGCAAGCTGTCTTTCAGTGAACCCTGCCTGCCATTATTTGTCTTCTTCATTGGGGAATCATCACAACCTATAAGCTTCTGAGGAAGGTGTTATGTACTGAGTTGAATAGGATCCAAAATGCAGCAGTCTGATTGGTCCACAGGAGCCACCCAATCCAGCTCCAGGTGGAAGTGAATCCGCAACCTGATTGGCCTACAGGAGAATCTCGGAATTAGCCAATCACGTGGGGCCCATTGTATAAATAACGTATATAAAGCAGACATTCTGGGGCAACTTCCATTCCTCCTCAACACTATGAGCAGAATAAAGAGCATGAAATCCACTCTTGACTCCGAGTATATTTCAGTTAGATATCCCGTAGACTGTCCCTGGGACAGGTGAGGCTGCTGATCCCTTATTTTCGCGGCTGCTGATCCCTTATTTTCAAATCTGAAAGTTGACAGCTATGCCCCAGAGGAAACCTACTGGTCCTCCCCTCCCCCTTTTCTTGACTCAGGGAGTGCTCTCCCCCCCAGCCAAGCAAACAAACACGTGCTTGCTGTTTCATAGATGGTTTTCAGTTGAAGACAGTTCCATTAGTTTTAGCAAGTTAGTGAAGGGCTTCTCCTGCAAGGATTTATTTATCAAGGTGCTGGGAAAACTGAGTGTTCATTCTGGTTTGTTTGGACAGAAGAGACTGCAGGATCAGGCCAGAGGCCATTCAACGCGGGACAGCAGCTTCCCCTCCCAGGGGAGCAGCAAGCATTTATTTGCTCAGGGCGGAGAGCTGCTCCAACCTGTTGCCGTCGCTTTCTACGAAAGGCTGAAAGAGCGAGGAGAGTCAGCACAAGGGACACTTATGCACCGATTGTGGGGAGCCTGGCTGGGTGCACCCTTCAGAAATGTGTGCCCAGGGCAAATTTTGTTGTTGTTTAGTCGTGTCCGACTCTTCGTGACCCCATGGACCAGAGCACACCAGGTACTCCTGTCTTCCACTGCTTCCCCAGTTTGGTCAAACTCATGCTGGTAGCTTCGAGAACACTGTCCAACCATCTCGTCCTCTGTCGTCCCCTTCTCCTTGTGCCCTCCATCTTTCCCAGCATCAGGGTCTTTTCCAGGGAGTCTTCTCTTCTCATGAGGTGGCCAAAGTATTGGAGCCTCAGCTTCAGGGTCTGTCCTTCCAGTGAGCACTCAGGGCTGATTTCCTTCAGAATGGTTAGGTTTGATCTTCTTGCAGTCCATGGGACTCTCAAGAGTCTCCTCCAGCACCATAATTCAAAAGCATCAATTCTTTGGCGATCAGCCTTCTTTATGGTCCAGCTCTCACTTCCATACATCACTACTGGGAAAACCATAGCTTTTAACTATACGGATCTTTGTTGGCAAGGTGACATCTCTACTTCTCAAGATGCTGTCTAGGCCTGTCATTGCCCTTCTCCCAATAAGCAGGCGTCTTTTAATTTTGTGGCTGCTGTCACCATCTGCAGTGATCATGGAGCCCAAGAAAGTAAAATCTCTCACTGCCTCCATTTCTTGCCCTTCTATTTGCCAGGAGGTGATGGGACCAGTGGCCACGATCTTCGTTTTTTTGATGTTGAGCTTCAGACCATATTTTGCGCTCTCCTCTTTCACCCTCATTAAAAGGTTCTTTAATTCCTCCTCACTTTTTGCCATCAAGGTTGTGTCATCTGCATATCTGAGGTTGTTGATATTTCTTCCGGCAATCTTGGGATTCATCCAGGGCAAATTTACTAATATGCATTTGGGAAGATGCCACGAAATTTTTTTATTTCCTCCTCTGGAAATCTCCCAAGTTGCATCCCCCCCCCCCAAAGAAGAATTTCCAAGCTCCCCTGTGATTAGAATCGAGAGACCTGCAAGCTAAGGCAACTTTAGGCGGCGAGTCTGCACGTCTTTTCGCGGACTTGGGTTGTTTCCGTCCGCCGCCGCCAGGGGGCAGTCAAGGGAACTCGTTGCTCCTCTGTTCCGAGTGAGTCCGCTCTTCGCTCTTCGTCTCCCGGAAGCGGAAGGAGTTTCCTTCCAGGGCGGAAAGGGAGAGAGGTCGTGCTGGGCTCCACGGCTTCTCCTCATGGCTCGCGTGCCGCGCACGCTGCTGATCTTCGGCGGCTTCGTGGCCGTGCTGGGGGCGGCCTTCTACCCCATCTACTTTCGGCCCCTGATGCACCTCGAGGAGTACAGTAAGTCGAGCGGGGAGCGCGCTCTGCGCACGCGCGGCCTTCTGCCGCTTGGCCGGAGCCCCGCCCCTGTTCGAATCTCGAAGGAATGGGAAGCGGCCGTTGGCTGCGCGCGCAGCTTTTCCTCAGCGCGGCCTTTTCCTGCCTCCCCCTCTCGCTCTCTGCTTAACCTGACGCGGGAGCGGAGCTGCACGTGTGAACCCGACACCGAGGGTCCTGTCACGGACCCGGGTGCAAGGAAGAGTTAGATGACGAGCCGCTTTGCGCAATATGAAGGGAACTTCGGAACTCCCTGCCTCTTGAGAAATCAGGCAGGCGCCTTCGCTGTCTTTTTTTTTTTTAAAGGCGCCTGCTGACAAGAATTCTTATTATAGAAAAGCCTATCCAGGTGCTCAGAAAGCTGAGGGGATGTTTGATCCTTAAAAAAAAAAGCATTTCTGCTTTTGTAGGTTTTTAAAGTAGGGTTGTAGATTTCCCCCCTCAATAAATAATAATAATAATAAAGTAGGGTTGTAGATTTTCCTCCTCAATATAATAATAATAATATTAAAAAGTAGGGTTGTAATAATAACAACATCAATAATAATAATTGCTATTATTATTATTATTTCAGTGAATCTACTTCGCCTACGATTTAGTCAAACACAGCTCTCTGACTTTGTTACCTTTTTGTTTCAATCAATGGAAAACATTATTATTTCAATGGAAACACACCCTGGGTGTTGTAGAGGATAGAACATTCCACACATGGATTTGTGATTTTTTTTTGGGTGGGGTATTTGGCTACCCTGGAAATTGGCTTCTTGGGGGGAGGCAAGTGAGATGGTCCCCAAAACAGCCTATAAGGCTTTTTCTTCCTTAAAAAAAAAAAAAAAGCCTTATGCTTCTGAACACAGTGAATGGGCGTCTCTAGTTCGTACTATAATTGCTTGATTGTAAAAAAAACAAAAGCCCAAAACAAACAAAAAACCAGTATCCTAGATGAATTATGTCATAAATCCACTTCTGAGTAAATTGTATAATGAAAAGAGCATCTCCCTGAATAGGACGTTGATGGTTCAAGTGTCATGTTCGCCATCACCTAAGATACAACTTCAAATCTCAGTTTTGTGGACCAAAGAAGCTTTGCCTTTGAGGAAAAAGGAAAGCTCTCTCCGAGGTGCTAATACCCTAAAGGCTCATTCACATATGAAACTCGTCACTTTAACTGCGCAGTCGTTAAAAAATGAATGTGCATGCATCTCAAGGGAGAATCGTGGTTTCCAACACGTGCAAATGCATTGCAATGCTTGCTCATTCCTCGTGCATGAAAGTGGGCGTGTTCCTCCCAATAATTGATGGGGATGTGGGAGCAATCCAAATTAATGTTGAAACAAAATTTAAAAAAAATCCTTCCAGTAGCACCTTAGAAACCAACTTAGTTTGTTATTGGTATGAGCTTTTGTGTGCATGCACACTTCTTCAGATACCTGCTTCAATTTTTTTAAAAAAATTTTTGACCGGCAGACCAACATGGCTACCTACCTGTAACTCAAATTAATGTTGTTTCCTTTTGAAGGAGGGGGACACTCGTCTCCCTAGCTGGCATGCAGGCACATTGCACACAGTACAGTGGTACCTCGGGTTACATATGCTTCAGGTTACAGACGTTTCAGGATACAGACTCCGCTAACCCAGAAATAGTACCTCTGTTTAAGAAGTTTGTTGCAGGATGAGAACAGAAATCGTGCTCTGGCAGCGGGAGGCCCCATTAGCTAAAGTGGTGCTTCAGGTTAAGAACAGTTTCAGGTTAAGAACAGACCTCCGGAACGAATTAAGTACTTAACCTGAGGTACCACTGTATTTCCTTGGGGTGATGTTCTACTAGGACCGTTTTGGTTTGTGCAGCTGGGACTGTTGTGTCCAGGACCTGATTCTCATATATGAAATACACAAACAGGAGCAGAAGCATTTATGACTGGTACCCATACTCATCATACCATGCTCTCCTATATATGAGTGGGGAGAAGGTACAGTGATACCTTGGGTTAAGTACTTAATTCGTTCCAGATGTCTGTTCTTAACCTGAAACTGTTCTTAACCTGAAGCACCACTTTAGCTAATGGGGCCTCCTGCTGCTGCGCCGCCAGAGCACAATTTCTGTTCTCATCCTGAAGCAAAGTTCTTAACCCGAGGTACTATTTCTGGGTTAGCGGAGTCTGTAACCTGAAGCGTATGTAACCTGAAGCATATGTAACCCGAGGTACCACTGTATTTCAATCCTTCGACATCACAAACCGAATCATAGCTGTCAACTCTTCCCTTTTCTTGCGAGGAATCCTATTCGGAATAAGGGAATTTCCCTTTAAAAAGGGAAACATTGACAGTTAGGAACCAAATATGCTTTGTGTGTTTCTGTTCTCTAATTCTAATCCAAGATGATTAAAATGTGTAGTTCAGCTCTGGAAGTAATTTTATTAAAAATAAAATGTGCAAATTGCACAGGCAGTGATTTGTATTATAAAACCAGCAGAGGGAGCATTGACTAATGCAGTCTGAATCCAGAGCCTCAGTATACTTACACTGTAGAAATGAATGGTACATATAATACCGTCCGGACTCTCTTCCTTGCTCCCTAAAGAAAGAAGGCATACATTGGAAAGATGGTGAGAAGGAATAATTAGTAATACGAGGTTGTATTTCCGACAGTGGTTCAGAACCTTTAGCATTGTATCTGACACAAGAATGTTACACTTCCTACTGTGAATATTCCTTTCTGTTAACAGAGTCAGATGATTAATTGTTGAAGATAAGCAAAGCAGTAATAGTACACAGTTCAGGCTCTTTGGCCCATTTTTTCCTTTTACTTTGTTATCTGATTTAAAAATATTTTCCCAGCATTTTCATTTACTATGGTGCTAATGTTTCCTGCCCACAAATCCAGTATTTGTTGGTGCTTCAACCAGTAATTCTCAAGCTGTGTGCTGCAATAAATACCTCAAGTCAGGGGTCAGCAACCTTTTTCAGCCGGGGGCCGTTCCACTGTCCCTCAGACCATGTGGTGGGATGAACAAATTCCTATGCCCCACAAATAACCCAGAGATGCATTTTAAATAAAAGCACACATTCTACTCATGTAAAAGCACCAGGCAGGCCCCACAAATTACCCAGAGATGCATCTTAAATAAAAGGACACATTCTACTCTATGTAAAAACCCACTGATTCCCAGACCGTCCGCGGGCCGGATTGAGAAGGCGATTGGGCCGCATCCGGCCCCCAGGCCTTAGGTTGCCTACCCCTGCCTTATGTAATGAAAGATACATGCGGGATCAAAATTGTTGTTGTTGTTTAGTCGTATCCGACTCTTCGTGACCCCATGGACCAGAGCATGCCAGGCACTCTTGTCTTCAAAATACCTACTTATCAAAATACCTACTTATAAAGGAGGCTGCATCCTTGAACAACTTACTGCTCTGCCCTTATCTCTTTCTCACCAGCTTCTTTGGTTTAAAGTTATTCTACTGTGTCTGCCTGTGCGATAGGATCATTCCGTTACCTGAACATGGAGCAGAACTACATGCCTTCAGAGGAGGCACATCTAAAACATGTGGGGAGTCTAAACAATAGACCAGGCTCCCCGGAGTAGATAGTTGCCCTTCATCTTGTGCAGGATGAGGAGGAAGGGGATGGAAGAGCCGGGTGAGGGGCAGTTTTGAGTCAGAAAATGCCTCATATATTATTTTAGAGATCACGATTAGGGTAGATGGGTGTTTTGAGCAGGCTGGTGCCCATCATTTTCTTCCCACACTAAGGGATAAATGTACTTTCTTACCTACTGTAATGTTTTGTGTTTACCAGAAAAGGAGCAAGCAATAAATCGAGCTGGTGTTATACAAGAAGATGTTCAGCCTACAGGTATAGCTCTTAACGCTTAGTTGAGCTGTGTTTATGTAAATTATGTATATCTTAATACTGTATTCCAATTCCAAAGAAGTTGACATGCAAAGGAGTTAATTTAGGAATTCATCCAAATGACCTTTAGTACGTTTCTAAAATGATTACTTAGACAAGTACAAGGTGAGCCTGTTTTATATAACTGGATATGAATGCTTCAGTACAAAGTATGCATGTTGTGATTCAAATAGAAGGGCATCTGTATGTGTTTTCACTCTGTTCCACCTTTCAGCTACAAGCAGAGGTTATTGTACAAAGATTGGACCATAGCTTTTAAGTATTTTGGTGAGAAGCAGAGTTATGGATACACACAGATTCCCTTCATACTGGGTCCAGAACATTGTATTCTGTACTAATATAGTCATATGCCTGTGCAAGAAATTCTGTAAGAAATTCCCTTTGATCTCAGAAGAACTGTTGAAAATACTGTTCTATCTTTCTTTCATATAATTCTGGTAATAGTCACTTTATCTATTTGAATGAGTAATATTCCAACTGGTGTTCTCAATTGCAACAACTAAGTTAAAAATATCCCTTTCTCGAGCAATATGCTCAAGATGTTCAGATTATTCAGATGAGACAAATTATTGTGACACATTTCAGTCTGCATTCATGCCTGGTTTTGGCACAGAAAAAGTTTTGTTTGCCCTGATGGATTCTCCTTGAGCTCTCAGTGACTTGATAACATCTGTATGCTGTCCTATGCATGTGGGATCAAGAAGATCACATTCCATGTTTCAGACTCTCTTCAGACATGGTCCTTGTCCAGTTGTTCAAAATACGTAATGTGCTCACATGTATAACTTCATGCAGAGAAGCTAGGTTGTAGAGAATACATGCATTTATTGACATTACAACAGCCTTCTAAAATGCTTTTTTATCTCTCCTGTTTTATCCAAAGGATTAAAAGTATGGTCTGATCCATTTGGAAGAAAGTAAGGACTTCTTTGGGTAGGATCTCACCAATGAATGTATTTTCCCTTATTCCATCAGTGATGCTTCTGGTTCTTTGAGTCAACCGAGATCATGCAGGAAAAGAACTCCACACGTGGAATTGTTTTATAATATCACTTTACATAAAGAGCAGTAGCAGCTGTTGGCTCTCAAGAGATAAAGCCCACTGTTTCCCCAGTGATGTAGTAGGAAACGCTGCAGTGAATGTTTTCTATTAACCAAATGGAATAATTGCCTTTTTCTTCATTGGAGGAATGAAGGAGAATTGCTTTGGTGAATGTAGTGTAAACATTACCAGAGTAGATTATGGAACTAATGAGGTGCGAGAGAGTTTTAAATTATGTACATTGATTGTAACATTTTTGTTGAACTAAACTGTAGTACTGCAGTTCAGTTTGCATGGATTTTGTTGTTAAGAGAAAAACTCAGTTTCAGATAACTTATTAATGTGTAAACTCGCTGTTCAAAAGTAAAGATTTGGATGTGTTGACTTATTTCTGTATATAAATCTTTTGAATGACTACACAGCTTTTTGTCTTTTCCTGGAACTTCTGTAAGTAGTTCTTTTCATAGAAAACCTGGCAATGCTTTACATTTTTTCTACTAACCTGGTTTCAGTTTGAAACTGCAGGAATGGGCAACTACTGTCTTCTCAAAGGTCACTCTAGTGTCCAGACAGTGGTCCATATGTCATAAATGTGCTGCACAAGCTGACATCCAAATGGGTCAGTTGGCACCTTGTAATAATATGGGCCTTGTCCCTATAAGCCATATAGACAAATGAGTAACCAGTTACATACAAAATTCAAATGAGATGCAGTATTGTTGGCAACTTGAGTCTAGAGAGAATGGAGTACACCTCCAAGAACTAAGTCAACAGCTGTGTTAGCAGCATTGAACTGACCTCCCTAGGTCACAGATTTGAGTAGTGTGCATGGAGGTCCTGCCTGAGCTGCCCTGACAACAAAACGTCCCTCTCAGCCTCCCTGGTGTGGTCCAAAGGAAAGCAGAGCAATATGCTTGGCACAGCTTGGCTGCAGGAGTTGCCAGAAGGTGCCATCCAACCATCTTGGGGACTCCACTCTGGATTTGTGCAGGGTTTACTCCTGAGCCTTCTCTTGAAGATATCCCACAAGCAGCAAAGGTCTAAGATCAGAATTTTCCTTCTGCTAGATGAGCGACTTTCCCGGTTTGACAAGCTCCATCTGCCCCTTCCCTCTACAGCACGTGCAGAAACCACCTTCTTGACCATTGGACCCACTATTGGTCTTGTCCGCTCAATCTGCCGGAGCCTGTCTTCGCATGCAGGGGGAGTCCCTAACACACTGAGGGTTTGAGACCTATCGGCTACCCTCACCTGGTTTAGCCACCCATTCGAAGCTGTTTCCAAGGGTGTGGGCACTGTCTCATGCTGACAGCTTCTAGGAACTGCAGGTTAAGACCAAAGGTGGACAAACTACCCGGAAGGAGCATGATGTGTCCCCCGCCCAGAGGTACTACACCCCCCCATACACCCTGGTGCAGTATTAAAAATGTGGGAGCTATATTTGTTATTGCTTGACAACATTTCCCAAACAATTACTAAATATTTAGTAGGGCTACTATGGACAAATTGCTTTGGAGGCTAGGTATGTTTTACTAGTAGACCATTCCTAGATAATAATAAGAGGCTGCCTTATACAGTCTTTTCTCCCCTTCCTAGGGATGCTGGCAGTTGAACCTTGGACCTGTGCATGCGTTCTAGGAATTCTTAGGTCTTAAATATAGAATAAATGTTGATAATTGCACAAGGTAAGCACACATACATAAGTATATAAACCACATGTCTAAAATAGTACAGGAGAGCAATCCAAAAGCCATCTTTGCTCTCCCAAAGACTCAATATTTCCTCTGCCTCCTTAATCTCCCTTACCTGAGAACAGGTAGGCAGATAGCAATCTGGAACTTCCTGAAGGGATTCCTCTCCTATATCTATGAACCTCCATTGTCATTGTTTGCCCAGATGCTTCATTGAGGGATGTCTGACAGGCATCCTGATTGTCTTATCAAACGCTAATGTTCTGTGTAAACTGTGTCTGGAACTATGTAAAACTCAGGAATATCACACCTCGGCCTGCCTGAGCCACAGCAACCCCACCTTACGTGTGGTGTAATTTCTGACTGTAGAGGGGATGTCCTTCTCCACACCAAAGTGCAAACCCTTAAAAGAGATGTTTCTTCTTTGTTCTGGATCTCTCTTGCCTCCTTGATAGGAGTGGAGGGAACTCTGTTGCAACAGAAAAATAAAGATCTGCCTTGCTTTCACTGCATCCTGCCTCCATCCATTCATGGACTTAGGGGACTCAGTCCCTTGAGGAGCTGGGCAGCAAAAGCCAACCACCCCTCTTTTTTCTATATCACGTGGAAAGCAGATGCTCTGTTACTGACCTAGGACACCTCCAGATTCCTGCCATTAAGGATGTAAATCCTTTCCAAGTAAAATTAAAATCCAGTAATAAAAACACAAAGGCAGTATTGTCATATAGCTGTCTGGACACGCCAGGTGGAACAGCTCCTAGTGTCATATTTCTCGCTTCCAAATGTACATTGTCCAGTTAACTCTTTCAACCATTGTGCTGCTGGGAAAGACTGCTTTCCATTTATACGTCTGTGCTTATGGATGTGAAACTTTCTGCAGCTGATTACCAGTGCCTGTCAATGACTTCAATACGGGATCTCTAGAAAACAACCACAGATAAAGTACATATGTTGCCAGCTAATACCAACTCTTCATAAAGGTTTTATGAAAAGGCAAGTAATACTTGGAATGAAAGTGAAAGCAAATATTCTAAATACTTTTGTCACCCCCTTTGATCCTAACAAGAAAATTCAGAGGTGTCAGACGCAAAAGCTGATGGAAAAGGTTCTCTTTTTCATAATTCTTCTAACTGGTGCTATAGATATTTGAAGGTGTATTTGGCCCATTCTCAGCGTGTTCATTATTCAACTGCAGCAACAACAACAGGTTTTTGTTATGCGAGTGAGTCATCCACAGAAGAGTGCTTCTATGTTATGCGGCAAGGATGCAGTGATGTGCTTTGGTAACCTTCCACAAGTATATTTCCAGAAAAAGACATTTCTTTAGCCATGAGTGCAAAACTTTCAATTAAGAATACATGTAACAATGCTGGTGTTCATTGCTCTGAGTCTGATACGCAGCAGTACATCAGAGGGGTAAGATAAGCATGTTTGGCCCAAGATGTGTTCAGGTTAACAGGCTGAAAGCTGAAAATATATTACTTGCTTAGCTTGTATTTGTTTTTGTCCCAGAACCACTTGTGGGAGCTTTCTTGCATTGTGCTTTAGCAATGATTAACTGCCATTTTCCCCAGAACTGTGTACAGTCAGTCTGACATCAATTATACGGCTGCATTGGCAAACGTAAACCAAAAGCAGCTGTATTTGGCCTCTGCTGTGCTATAGCTGAGTTGAATAACATGTTTTGCTAAAGCAAGGTCACACTTTATTTGAGAAATTGGTGTTTCTAAGCTTTTTAGGAACTACAGCGGACTTTGGTGCCGTTGATGCAATGGGTTGAGCTAGCAGGAAGAAATGGAGCTGTATGATCAAATCAGATCTTTATTGTTGAAGTCAATGATCAGCATTAAAGAAGCAAGATAAGAGGCACATAGAACATATCCAAGTGTGAAGAACAACAAAAAAGGATAAAGTAAATAGAAGTAGCGTAAAGGTAAAGGGACCCCTGACCATTAGGTCCAGTTGTGGCTGACTCTGGGGTTGTGGCGCTCATCTCGCTTTATTGGCCGAGGGAGCCAGCGTACAGCTTCCAGGTCATGTGGCCAGCATGACTAAGCTGCTTCTGGCCGGAGCGGTACCTATTTATCTACTTGCACTTTGACGTGCTTTCGAACTGCTAGGTTGGCAGAAGCAGGGACCGAGCAACAGGAGCTCACCCTGTCGCAGGGATTCGAACCGCCGACCTTCTGATCAGCAAGTCCTAGGCTCTGTGGTTTAACCCACAGCGACACCCGCATCCCGAGAAATAGCATAGAGTTAAATAAATAGGGCATCAACATTTTAAAAGATATAATCATGCCATGAACTTCAAAGAGGGAAATTGCAGAAGGTCTGAGGTAGGTTCCTGGAGAATTTGGCTTGCTGTAGCACAGAATTTGGCCACACGGATAGATGCATCTTGTTTGGAAAGGAGTAGAAGGCCATAGAATGCCACTGATCATCCTCACAGATTTAATAAGAGCTGCTTGATAAAGATTTCAGGCAAATCTTGATATGAAGAGCCGTGCAGGAGGATATGGGTCACTGAGCTCTCCAGAATTGCAGGGGCACTTGTGTTCATGATAGGGCTTTTAAAAACTTATCTTCCCTCCAGAATAGCAATGGGGAGGACAGAAGTTGTATCATGACGGTCACTGGTAGAAGATCTGAGCTCCAAATGCAGACATTTGACTAGCTGGCTTGGTCTTCCAAGCCTTCCTTTGCCTTGCCACAGCTGTATTATAGAGTTCAAAATCCTTTGGCTTGGTTGTGGGTGAGAGTAGTCTGTGATACGGTATAGCCAAAAGGTTCTTCGTATATTCAAGATTGAATTCAAATATCGCCTGCCTGACAAACTGAATTTGAGCCCAAGAGCCACTCACCACGTTACATCAAAGATTTCCCCTACGGCCAATCACAAATTTTCTAACACACCTTTTCATGCCAAATGTGTGCAGCAAACATGCCCCAAGACACTGCCCACGTTTGTGTTCTATGAGCATTTTCAGAAAGCTGGATTCCTGTCCAATATTGTGAAAAGTCAATATTTCTGGCCATCTGAAATGGAAATGTAGGACTCTAATTTTCCTGGTATAGTTAAAGCCATGGTTTTCCCAGTAGTGATGTATGGAAGTGAGAGCTGAACCATAAAGAAGGCTGATCGCCGAAGAATTGATGCTTTTGAATTATGGTGCTGGAGAAGACTCTTGAGAGTCCCATGGACTGCAAGAAGATCAAACCGATCCATTCTGAAGGAAATCAGCCCTGAGTGCTCACTGGAAGGACAGATCGTGAAGCTGAGGCTCCAGTACTTTGGCCACCTCGTGAGAAGAGAAGACTCCCTGGAGAAGACACTGATGCTGGGAAAGATGGAGGGCACAAGGAGAAGGGGGTGACAGAGGATGAGATGGTTGGATAGCGTTTTCGAGGTTACCGGCATGAGTTTGACCAAACTGCGGGAGGTAGTGGAGGACAGAGGTGCCTGGCGTGCTCTGGTCCATGGGGTCACGAAGAGTCGGACACGACTAAACGACTAAACAACAACAACAAAATTTTGCTGTAAAGTTGCCCAAAGATATTTGAATTAAAAAGTTCTTATTGAATGTTGTTCATTCTTTGTCCACTAGATAGAGCTCTCAAACCCCTTCTCATTATTTAGGACTCGGGGCAGAGTGAGTTTCTTAGATCATACTGTATATGTACAAATCTGAAGATTTGGGGCAGCCAAATGACAAACTGCAAGGACAG